GCTTCGGAACGGAGTACCTGTCCAGGTACGAGGAGCAGGGTCTGGGTCTGCAGTGGGACAACATTGAGACAAGTCCTCTGGAGGGGGACGAGTTCTCCTTCCTCACCTCCATCTGCATGATGGGCCTGGACACGGTGCTGTACGCCGTGCTCGCCTGGTACCTGGACAATGTCTTCCCTGGTCGGTGCATTAGGCATTCATTCTTTGATTTCTTCACATTTTCACCGAAGTTAACCTGTTGAATATGTACTTCTTAAATCTCAGGTCAGTATGGAATCAGCCGGCCGTTTTATTTCCCGTTCCTCCCCTGTTATTGGCTCAACAGTGTGGCTCCTGCTTCAGGTGAGCCAACACGTGTGATATTAAATCTCAGCCCTGAGACCGCCTCAGAATAATTCATTTATTTTTCTTTCCAAATGTGACAACAATCTGGGTTTAGATAAAAAAGGCTTTTCTAACCTGAAGAACAAGGAGCAGCAGAAAAAAGAGGAGAAGGAGGAGGACCTAATTCAAGACCAGGAGAAGAAACGAGAAGGGACGAAAGACCAGGAGGAAAACCATGAGCAGGAGAGAAATCATCAAGAGAGACCAAGGAAGGCAGAGAAAGAGCAGGAGAGACCTCAGACTCTGGACAAGGATCAGGAAAAACCTCAGACTCTGGAGAGACCTCAGACTGTGGACAAGGAGCAGCTGAGACCTCAGACTGTGGACAAGGAGCAGGAGAGACCTCAGACTGTGGACAAGGAGCAGGAGAGACCTCAGACTGTGGACAAGGATCAGGAGAGACCTCAGACTCTGGAGAGACCTCAGACTCTGGACCAGGAGCAGGAGAGACCTCAGACTGTGGACAAGGAGCAGGAGAGACCTCAGACTGTGGACAAGGATCAGGAGAGACCTCAGACTCTGGACCAGGATCAGGAGAGACCTCAGACTCTGGACCAGGATCAGGAGAGACCTCAGACTGTGGACAAGGATCAGGAGAGACGGAGGATTCTGGAGAAGAAGGCATCGTGTGAACACCAGGCTCAGCGTGAGAGGATGGAGAGACAGATACAGGGCGAGGAGGAGGAGGAGGAGGAGAAAGACGGTATGATATTCATGTTTACTACTTGTTTTACTAGTACTAGTTCTAAGTTTGTCCTTCAGTTTTGATGGTGCGCTTTGGGGTTCCAAAATCCTTAAAGAGCCGAAACAAGCACAGTTTCGGCTGCATTTCGTCATCAAGTTTGACTGACTTTGATCAACACAAATAGTTCCACCTGTTATCAGTTTCATTATGTGTGCTGGAGTTTTATTTCTCACGCAGGCAAACATGGTTTTTTATGTCCTCCCAGCCACTCTTTGTTTGCTCCCACTTTCTCCTGTCACATTCAATGTGTGTGAACTCAGAGTCCTTGTGTGTGTGAGTGTGTGTGAGTGTGTGTGTGTGTGTGTGTGTGTGTGTGTGTGTGTGTGTGTGTGTGTGTGTGTGTATGTGAGCTTCAGTTTCATGCTGAGTTAATAAGTGATAGATACAGTTTTTTCACATATTCCAGCCGTCTCTAGCCTCTTTTATAAACATGAGAAACTAAACTCGACTGTTGTCTCAGAATCAGAACTGATTTTTAAACAAACTCATGCAAATCATTTTTTAGGTTTGGTGCAAGACAACGACAATCAAACAGATTAAAACACCTGCACTACGTGAATACAAAGAGGACTTTTACAGCGCAGGGTACTGAGGGTTCCTCATATCTTTGCTGTTTTCAGGTCAGCAGTTCTTTGAAGCAGAGCCAGCCGACCTGGTGAAAGGTGTTTGTATCCAGGATCTGGTTAAGGTGTTCAGCGGCAGCTCCACACCGGCGGTGGACGGACTCACCATCAGTTTCTATGAGAGTCAGATTACTGCTTTCCTGGGCCACAACGGAGCCGGGAAAACCACCACCATGTAGGTGCTCGGATTCTCTTCATGCAAACACACAAAGAGTGATCTTCTTAGAGTGACATAAAGCTGGGTGCATAATTAGCATAACTCTGCTCAATTCTCTCTCAGGTCCATCCTGACAGGTATGTTCCCTCCCACCTCTGGAACAGCCAACATCTACGGAAATGACATCCGCACAGACATGGACGCCGTGCGTCTGTCTCTGGGGATGTGTCCCCAACACAACATCCTTTTTCACCAGTATGTCTACCTTTTTGAAGTAGTTATTATGAATACATAGACTGCGATGCAAGTAAAAAAAGGAAACATTCAGTGTGCACATCTTTCTATCCTCCTCTGGTTTTCTGTCAGTATGACTGTGGCGGAGCACATCCTCTTCTACTCACTGCTGAAAGGCCGTCCGCTGGCAGAGGCCCAGGAGGAGGTGGAGAACATGCTGCAGGACCTGGGTCTGCCTCACAAGAGAGACGAGCTGACGCAGAACCTCTCAGGTCTGTGTGGATGAATCCTCGTCCAAAAAAAAAAGAAGAGAATAAATTGAATTTATCTTTTTCATTCAAATAGAAAAATCCCCCTCGTGCAGAGCTGCACCCTGACACATGCAGCATCAGGATTTCTAAACATTTTGATTCCAGGGGGCATGCAGAGGAAGTTGTCCGTAGCCTTGGCGTTTGTAGGAGGAGCTAAGGTGGTGATTCTGGATGAGCCCACCTCAGGTGTGGACCCCTACTCCAGACGCTCCATCTGGGACCTGCTGCTGAAATACCGTGCAGGTATACTGACCCCTGCTGGCTAGAGGAGGAAGTAGAGGAGGAAGTAGAGGGATAGAAGGTGTCGTGGTTTGTGATGATGTTCTGCATCATTTAGATTAGGGGTGGGAAACTGCCCCCCCACCCCCCCACCCCCCTCAATGTGGCCAACAGGTTTTTCAGTATTAGTCTTTTACAGCACAAACATAAACACCTGAATGAACCCCTGTCTTCATCGCCCTGCTCTGTCTGATGTTTCAGGACGTACAGTGATCATGTCGACCCACCACATGGACGAGGCCGACCTGCTGAGCGACCGCGTGGCCATCATCTCTCAGGGTCGTCTTCACTGCTGCGGCTCGCCCATCTTCCTCAAAAAATGCTTCGGAGCTGGATTCTACCTGACTCTGGTGCGACGGGTGAAACCTGAAGCTCGGAAGGTGGGAGGACATGAAAACGAAGAATTGTTGATGTTTATCTCGTCTACAGTCGCTCTAAATGTCAAAGAATATAATTTTTAAAGGATCAATCAGTGAAACAGTGTTCAGGTCAGGAGATGGTAAATAATGTTTTCCACTGACATGTCGTCCTCCAGGTGAGCTGTGACTGTACGAAGGACTGCTCCTGTAAGTGTTCCAAGTGTTCAAAGTTTAAAGCAGACCAGGAGAAGAAGCTGGACCGGCAGCTGGAGGGTAAGCTCTGCGTTAGTTTCATTACATATTTTAGATACTTCAGTGATAATGCAATGGAGCTGAACATGCTTGATCTTTAATATATTGAGGAGGAAATGTGTAAAAGGTACAAAAAGTCGAGGAATTGCTAACTGGCTTCAGCTGGACTCCTTTGACGAAAACGTGAAAAGTGTGCTATCACTAGAATCCATCACCATGACTTCATGCAGTCAGAGGGGTAGTGAGGCCAACAGCAGGATACCCCGCCCTGATGGAGTCTAGACCCTGGTGGTGGTGGTGATACCCCCCCCTTAATGGAGTCTAGACCCTGGTGGTGCTGTTGATGCCCCCCTGATGGAGTCTAGACCCTGGTGGTGGTGGTGATACCCCCCTGATGGAGTCTAGACCCTGGTGGTGCTGTTGATACCCCCCTGATGGAGTCTAGACCCTGGTGATGGTGATGATACCCCCCTGATGGAGTCTAGACCCTGGTGGTGGTGGTGATACCCCCCCTGGTGGAGTCTAGACCCTGGTGGTGATGGTGATACCCCCCTGATGGAGTCTAGACCCTGGTGGTGATGGTGATACCCCCCTGATGGAGTCTAGACCCTGGTGATGGTGGTGATACCCCCCTGATGGAGTCTAGACCCTGGTGATGGTGGTGATACCCCCCTGACGGAGTCTAGACCCTGGTGATGGTGGTGATACCCCCCTGATGGAGTCTAGACCCTGGTGGTGATGGTGATAGAAGAAAGCATGTTTAGACATACCTGTGTGTCGTCAGATATTCTTTCTGTATCTCTTCACAGTCCTAGTTGGAGAACGAGAGAGATACAAGATGGCCGTTTGATTTATAAATCACACAAACAAAGTAATGAATGTTTGATAAACGTCTAAACAAAGAATCATCTCCCTCTCACCTCCAGGTAACATCGAGACCATAACAACCCTGCTCAATCATCACGTGCCGCAGGCTCGTCTCATCGAGGCCATCGGCCAGGAGCTGACCTACCTGCTGCCTAACAGGAACTTCCAGCCCCGAGCGTACGCCAGTCTGTTCAGGGAGCTGGAGGAGACGCTGGTGGACATCGGCCTCAGCAGCTTCGGCGTGTCCGACACGTCGCTGGAGGAGGTGCGTGGAAGTATTACCTGCAGAAATGTGTTTGAGATATTGCAAACAAAGGTCAGAAAAGTAATTAATGTTTACGAATGATAATGCAAATGTAAAAGGAGACGATACATCCAACAGACGTTTTTAATGATTTATTGAAGTAGAAATGATGTTTTCATTTTCAGAGCTCAACGTCCCGTTAATAACAAACACATACGAGTGTAATGAGAGTTTTATTAAAGCGATCTGTCACACAGGCGCCGCCTGACGTTCACCTTCACACTGATTACGTTCTGTTCATGACGCTTTCTAATCAACAGCATCTGTTCATCCGTGTTTACTCACAATAAAATCATCTGTCTCCTCCCAGATCTTCTTAAAGGTCACTGCTGATGGGAACGCAACCAACAGGAAATGTATACAAGGTACAAAATAAACGTTTTTAGCTCTTTTATCTGACCTGTGTTTGTTGACTCTGTGATGAGCTGCATGTCTGCATGTGTGGTTGTGTCTTTGCACCTCTCTCTCTCTCTATCTCTCTTTTGTAGTTTCACACTTTAACTTTCTGACTCTCTCAGAGAAGAAATCATTGCAGCACATCTTTGGCACGTTGCTCTGTGGATTCAACAGAGTGGCTGTTAATCTGGAACCTGAGAAAGGTGACAATCAGCTTAAAGCTCTGGACGAATGCTGCTGCTGCTTCTGAAAAACACATCTGTGTTTAGTTTGAGAGAATTCACAGATGATTAGGTGTTGTTAGAAGAAAACTACACAACCTTCATTTAATAAACACAAGATGTAAACTAATAAAATCACAAGATAGTTCAAGATGGAAAGATGGAAAGATGGATACAGATTTCATGTCTGTATGTTAAAGGCTAAAACCAGTTAGCTTAGCTACTGAGTACTTGTTTATGGCTTCAGACGAGAAAGTCTTTATCCAAGAGGGCATTAAGCACATGGTATCGTGTAGTAACGTATAGATGCATTGATGACTTTTCTCTCAGGTCAAAGGATTGATAGCTAGCCTGGCTCTGTCCAAATGAAACAAATCCGTCATACTACATCATTCTTATGCCACCTTATTGAAATTACAAAACTTCAGTGCTCACTCTGGTTTGAACAGAGCCAAGCTGACAGTTTCCTCCTTTGTCTTTGTGCTGAGCTTAGCTAAGCTAAGCTAACTGGTTTCTTGCAGTAGCTTTTGATTTGACAAACCAACATGTAAGACTCAATCTTTGCATATAATTTGATAACATGTCCCTTGAAAACTTAATGTGGTAAGGTTTCTAACCAGCTGATATGTTCAACATAAACTGATCCAGAGCTCTGACTTGAAGAGCAGCTATGATGATGTAATTCATCTTAAATGCCGGTAGAGCTCTGCTGCTAGCTGCTTTTTAATCGCTGCTCATAGAAGATATGAACGTTTGTCCCGCAGGCTGGCTTTTTAAATGTAGAAAACAACACAACACGTTAACTCAGACTAAATATTTTGACCTGAGCTCTTTACTGCAAACACAGACGGGGTTTTGCAAACCAACGGTCAGGGTCCATGTGATGTCCCAGGAGGTTCTGATGGCAGGGGGTCGTACCAGGTCAGAGGTCTTCAGCTGACAATCAAACAGTTCCTCGCTCTGCTAATAAAGAGGCTGCAACACGCCACACGCTCCTTTAAGGACTTCCTCGCCCAGGTAACCTCGCCGCCCTGAAATGGATTTTACACAATCTTGTTCAGCGGTGTGAGATATCTTTACAACCTGTGTGTTTCTGTTGGGTGTGTTTTGTATTTACTTGAGTAAAGTCAAGATTTAAAACAAGATTTCACAAGTCTGACATTAAAAAAAGAAGATCAATCTAATAAAAAAAGAAACATTTCAGAAAAAGAAACATTTCCCGATGTCAAATATCACAAAACACATCAACTTTCAAAAACAAAAACATTTAATTCAGAGGTCATATTTCACAAAACCTAGAAACCTTTCAGGAGAACGAGAATGAGGACCAAAAGCAAAACATTGGAACAATTCATAAAACAAACCCAAACATATCGGAATACACTACATTTGCCAAAAAACCAACTTGTCAAAGAACGTAATATTTACCAAAACACCATGATATTAAAGGTCACATATTCTCCTCCTCATCAACCAGTTTAAATAAGTCTCAGAGCTCTGATGTCTGTGAAGTTTCTTGTTCTAAATCCACTCAGATCCTGTATTTGATCATGCCTATAAACCCCTCTATTTCAGCCCTGCTCAGAACAGGCTGTTTCTGTGTCTGTACCTTTAAATATGTACATGAGCTGTGTCTGCATCTCTAACTTTTAAAGATCGTGCTGCCGGCCAGTTTTGTCTTCTTGGCGCTCACCTTCACTCTGATCGTTCCACCGTTCGGGGAGTATCCGAGTCTGACTCTCAGTCCGTGGATGTACGGGAGACAGTACACCTTCTTCAGGTAGGCAGAATGAACACGAGGTCCCCTGACACTATTTATTAGCTATAAATATGCAAAACGTTTTATTTATTTTTTCTCTGCTGCAGTAATGAACGTCCGTTGGATGCTCAGATGAGATATTTCGGGGAAGTGTTATTGGACAAACCCGGCTTTGGGACTCGCTGCATGGCTGAAGAACCTCTGGAGTCAGTCATCTTGCACACGTTTAGATCTTTTGTCCAGAAATTTCAAACTGTTTTTAAAACATTTTATCAACTGCTCCTGCTTTTAGAGATTTCCCGTGTAACAACATTACCACAGAGTGGGAGATGGGCCTGGTTAACCCGGTACTAATTGACATGCTGGCCGGTCCCGAGTGGGACGCCCTCAGACCGTCTCCAGACTGTCAGTGCAGCACACCCAGGAAACTCACCATGTTACCTGTGTGTCCTGAGGGGGCGGGAGGTCTGCCGCCTCCGCAGGTAGAGCAATGATATTGAACAATATACATTACTTTTGGAGGTACTTCACCTACTATGACCTCACCTTTCATACAATCATGCTCGTCAGTAATCGTTCTGCTGCATTTTGAACACTTTGAAGGCCAAAATCTTTTTCAGTTGTCCAATCAAGTGAGCTTACCAAATGTCAATATAAGGGGTTATAAAAGCATTCAGGAGTTTTTCTGTAACAGAGAGAGAAATGGTCTGCGTTTAAAATGTATTTCAGAGATGATTAAAGACATTGCTAATGAGGGCTTAGAAAAGGTGGGTCCAATTAAAGGTAACTCCAGGGTTTTTGGCCTTGTCTTTGGTATGATTGGAGATGGATAGACAGTTACTCGCTCAGAGATTTTTACCCTAAATAATTGACTTCCATCTTGTTGTTATATGCTGTGAAGAGATGTGTGATATCCATACTTTACAGTCATATAAGGACAAACTTATCAATGATGCTAACATCATCGGGAGGCGTACAGAGATATATCAGGGTGTCATCAGCATAACAATGACTTATCCATGGGGCTAACATCATCGGGGATGTAGAGGGGTATAGTAGGGTGTCATCAGCATAACAATTACTTATCAATGGAGCTTACATCATCGGGGATGTAGAGGGGTATAGTAAGGTGTCATCAGCATAACAATTACTTATCAATGGAGCTTACATCATCGGGGGCGTAGAGGGGTATAGTAGTGTGTCATCAGCATAACAATGACTTATCCATGGGGCTAACATCATCGGGGGGTGTAGAGGGGTATAGTAGGGTGTCATCAGCATAGCAACAAAAGTCTGCGGATTAAGATCCATATTAAAGTATGTTGTGTTTTTTTGTCCATCAGAGGATCCAGTCTACAGGAGATGTTCTCATGGACCTCACAGGCAGGAACATCTCTGATTATCTTGTGAAGACTTACCCCAGCCTCATCAGAACCAGGTCTAAGATCCCTAAACCTATTCAAAAGGAATAACTTGCTCAGTTGACCCAGAAGCAAAGTTGTGTTTTGAGGTATTTAAATATTTAAATATTTTTCTATCATTTTGCAGCTTGAAGAGCAAATATTGGGTGAACGAACAAAGGTACGTTTATATCCAATTTCTTTACACTCAGATTAACACAAGGTCTAATTTATAGACCACCTACTGTGACGGTCACCTGTTGGTTTTTTTGGACTAAAGTTTTCAATTCCTGACTTTGCTTTTTCCTGTGGCCATCTTGGTTTTTGACCCAGTAGAGAAAATATTGGAGACAAGGGTGGATATGCATGGCTACAAGTCTGTCATGGTAAACCAGTACAGGAGTGTTGGTGGTGTATACCTTCATTATGGGCTAATTGACTCTAAATGGGACTTTAGTAAACATCATGATGTGTTGAAGAATACTTGAAACCAGCGATTGAGACCATAAAAGAAAAAAGTGAAAAAATCAGCTCATATTTCCATCAGGTATCAGACTTATTTTTATAACGGGTGGATTAACCCCTACTGGACATTGGAGAGAATGCAGGTTAAAGCTTTTTTACATTGGCTTACATCCCCTTCTTTAATTTACTCCTTGGTCCATATAGATTTATGTTCCTTTTAAGAACATCATAATGGATGACAGAGTGGTGTTCTTTTTTTAATGGTTGCACTGGTGAGGTATTGTTTCTAGCTGCCGTAGCTGGACATACAGTTAAGTATTAAAGATGTCAGCAGGGTTTTTTTTTTTTTTTGTCCAGGTATGGAGGTATATCAGTGGGAGGACAGCTTCCTGTTTTAGATCTTCAGCCGAAGACCATCCAGGATGTGGCAGCACAGCTGGGACGACTGCTCAACGTTACCGGGGTATCCCTTAACAAACCACATTAGATAATGCCTTATACTTGATTGTTGCTATATATTTCTTTCTGTTGGTGTTTCTACCTTTCAGTTTCTTTTGAATATGGTATTTATATTTTTTTGTTCAAGGGCAAATACTCCAAACAAACTCTAAAGGACATAGGGATGTTTCTGAAATATATGGAGACCCAGAACAATGTCAAGGTGTGTCTGAAAAAGCCCAACATAACAACTAAATTAAACACACTTTATATTATTTTCACAACTAAAGTGAATTCTGTAGGTTATATAGTAAGGTGTGGGACAATAAATAACCAAAGAGCATGGTTCACTATCTTTCTACAGGTGTGGTACAACAATAAGGGCTGGCATGCCATGGTTAGCTTCATGAATGTGGCGAACAACGCCATCCTGCGTGCTAACCTGCCCAAAGATGCTAACCTGGACAAATACGGAATCACTGCCATCAACCATCCTCTGAACCTGACCAAAGAGCAGCTCTCTGAGATCACCGTGTGAGTAACCAGCGACAGGACGTTTTGAAAAGATTTAACTTCTTCTCGGTGGATTCACTCGTTTTGATCTGTCGACATTTTGTCACAGCACTTTTAGCTGAAGATTTTGCTTTGTCCGTCTTCCAGCCTCACCACCGCGGTGGATGCCGTGGTGGCTATCTGCGTCATCTTCGCCACGTCCTTCGTTCCAGCCAGCTTCGTCCTCTATTTAATCCAGGAAAGGGTGACCCAGGCCAAACACCTCCAGTTTGTCAGTGGCGTCAGTCCGTTGGTGTACTGGATGGCCAACTTTCTCTGGGACATGGTACACTTACACTGACGCCTCCGGAGATCTATATCAAAGCAAACAACAGATTTCTCAAACAGTCAAGAGCATGTAGTGGTGATGTTAATGACAAGAACACTGTTTAAAACACCAGAATGTCTAGAAGTGTACACCTCAGCTTTATAAACACTAACATCTGTTATAACTGTGTTCCTCTCACAGCTGAATTACTCCATGAGTGCAGTGATGGTCGTAGAAATCTTCATCTTTTTTAATAAAAAGTGCTACACCTCAGGCAACAACCTGCAAGCACTTATCGCCCTGCTTATGCTGTATGGGTAGGTTTTGTTTATCATTGTATTTGTCCAGACTAGGATGTAAAAAGCCAGCAGCTCTAAAACAAACTGCAGAGGGAAAATGTGACTGTTTTTGTCTTTTGGAGTTTGGTGACTTTAAAGATTGTGATCAAACGACTGGTTCTGATATTTAAAAAAAAACAAGAAGGTCTATCTTTGCAAGCATCCTTTCTGTAATGATGTCACACACTTAGAATAACAACCTAAACCTATTGGGGACAAAAACAACAGCTTTGAGTGGGTGCACATTTGCACAGATTACATAGAAGCTCATCATCAGCTATCAAGTCTGTAAAAATAAGAACCAGTTTAAAAACATCAGAGCTCCACTTTACATTCACCCTGAGAGTTTCAGCTTCTCCCTCTCTCAGCGTTTCTCGCTCTGAGTTTGTGAAATATTGACTGAACCAACAGCAAATGATCTCTGAGTCGAGGGGAGATTACAAACCTAATACTCCATTAGAGTCACCTCATCAATTCAACAACAAGTGGCTGATTTGTATTTATTTTAAAGACCAATGCATTATTTGTGTCTGGCATGAGATTGTGTTATTCATTATGCTGAACTGATGCTGTTCTTGTCCCTCTCTCTGTCTCGTAGCTGGTCTGTGACCCCCATGATGTACCCCATGTCCTTCGTGTTTAGTGTTCCCAGCACAGCCTACGTCTCTCTGTCCTGTATCAACCTCTTCATCGGCATCAACTGCAGCGCCATCACCTTCATCCTCGACTTGTTTGAGGGCACCACAGTAAAAAACTGGTGTTATCTCTGTACAAATCCACCCCTCAGGTGTCTTCTATTATATTCCTTACCTTTAGTGTTGGTTTTCTCTCCAGGCTCTGTACAAGCTCAACCAGCTGTTAAAGACCGTGCTGCTCGTCTTCCCTCATTACTGCCTGGGAAGAGGGCTCGTAGACATGGCCATGAACCAGGCTATGACAGATGTCTTCGCTCGCTTCGGTAATCACCATGAACACAGTCTCATATAATGTCCCTGACCGTCTCAATACTGTGAGGGATGTGGGGTCATTGGCTGCATCAGCTGACTTGCAAACAGTCCAGTCACATCCTACTGTAGACCCTAATGTGTGTTTCAAAAACCCCTTTACACCTGATATTACATTGTTCATTATATTGTCTGCGTGATGTTTCCTCCTCTCTTCAGGTGAGGACTACAGTCCGGACCCGTTTGACTGGGACTTTATTGGGAAAAACCTTTTTTGCATGGCTGTGGAGGGATTCGTCTACTTCATCCTGAATCTTCTCCTCCAGTATCGCTTCTTCCTCGATCACTGGTACGTACAGACAAACTTAAATAACCACATTTAACAAATGTCACAGGGCTTTCACGCACGCAGAAAACTGGGATGCTGTAATATCTTGTAAAAAGAGCGAGTGCTTTATTCTCCGTTGTCAGGATCTCTGAGGGCCCAAAGCCTTTCATTCTAAACGAAGATTTAGACGTGGCTCAGGAAAGACAGCGGATCTACGAGAGTGAAAAAACCAACGATATTTTACACATCAAGGACCTAACCAAGGTGAGATGTTCTTTTAAAAAAAACAAAAAAACTGATCAATAATGGAAGAAGGAAAAGATTCTCAGAGAGTTTGTATCCACTTTTAGACGTACCCAGGAATGATGATCCCTGCAGTGGACCGGATCTGTGTGGGAGTCTCAGCTGGGGAGGTGTGTGGGGTTATTTGCATTAACAGAGGAAGAATTCTGCTTGTATTCTTGTTTATTCATCATGTTTTGATCTCCTGGTCGTCTGCAGTGTTTTGGTCTGCTGGGGGTAAATGGAGCAGGAAAGACCACAACATTTAAGATGCTGACCGGGAGACATAGACGTCACATCAGGAGAGGCGTCAGTGGCCGGGCACAGGTCAGAAGAGAAGGACTAATGTGTTAATATGTAGAGTCTTGTTGACAGATTTAGTGTTGTATTAAAGTTTTGTTGCTCCCCTGAATCTTCAGCATTTTGACGAGCATCCTGGACGTCCACCAGAACATGGGCTACTGTCCTCAGTTTGACGCCATCGATGAGCTGCTGACAGGAAGAGAACATCTACACCTCTACGCCCGACTCCGAGGAGTCCCAGAGTACGAGATCAGCAGGGTGAGACTTCTCTTTGATTTCTTTTTGAGCTTTTGCCTCTATTAGATAGGACAGTGGATAGAATAAATCCAAGAGAAAGTGGGGAATGACTTGAGGGAAAGGAGCCATAGGTCTTATTTGAGCCTGGGCCCATCCTGCTTGGAGGACTACAACCCCTTTAAATAGGGCGCAACTTAACCACTGGGCCATGAGCGTCCTAAGATAGGACTTTTATATGGAAATAGTTAAGAAAAATAAATAAAACTAGCATGATTCAATGTTATGTACTGAAGATTCCTGCAGTTCCTGGAGTGACCACTAGAGGCTGGCTGCAGAAGCACAGGAAGTCACATACACACCCATTCTAAAAAGCCTGTTTTTACAGCAGAGATTAACATGTTTACAGCCTGGTTCAAAAAAACAAATAGGTGTGATTAGCTCATGTCTCGATGGACACACACTGTACGGGGGGGGTGAATGTTTTGATGACTCATCAGTTTTGATTTGATGAAGGATAAGAGTTATTCACAATAAGGCGTGTAGCTGACCTGATTGACAGGTGGGCGCGGTGTAACGGTTTGTCAGGAGGTTTAAAACCCGCCTCAGCTCCAGCTCTCAGCCTGTTGTTAGGTTGACTGAAAGTTAGACTGAGACAGCATTTCCAGCATGGAGACTGCCATCGATGGGACTCCATTGCCCCTTGCAGGAACAGACGGGTGACTTCACTCAGGCTTCCTCCAGTAATATTTAGCTATATTTGTTTCACTGAAGTTCCCCTGAATGGTTCATGAGAGTTCCCCTGGTGCTCAGGTTGCAGAGTGGGCGATCCAGAAGCTGGGTCTGTCTGAATACGCAGATCAGAGCGCCGGGACGTACAG